AGAATAAAAAATTGTACATCTGTATGCAAAATAATACATTGTTCCTACACACACACACATACACAATTACCTATATAACCTAGCAATTCCATTTCTGGGTATATACCTAAGAGAACTTTCTGAAAGCAGAATCTCAAAGAGATATTTGAACATCCATGTTCAGAGCAGGATTATTCACAATAGCCCAAAACAGGGAAGCATCCCAATGTCCCCTGACGGATATATGGATAAGCAAAAATGTGGCATACCCATACAATGGAATATTATACAGTCTTAAAAAGGAAGAAAAATCTGTAATGTTCTACAATATGAATAAACCTTGAGGATGTTTTACTAAATAAAATAAACTAATCACAAAAAGAAAAAATACTGTATAATTTCCACTTGCATGAGGTAGAAAAATCAGAAATCATAAAAACATTAAGTAGCATGGTAGCTGCCAGGACTGGGGGGGGGGGGGATGTTTAATGAATATACTTTCAGTTTTATAAGATTAAAGTTATTGAGATGGATGGTGATAATAGTTGTGTAATATTATGAATGTATTCAATTCCACTATAATGTACATTTTAAAATAATTAAAATGGTAAATTTTGTTATGTATATTTACCACAATTTTTTTAAATTAAAAAAAAAAAAATCCTAAGTTCCTTAGTAAACCTGCATCAATTCTTGTGAAAGAACAGAATCCTCTTCTTATTATCCTAAGGTAACTCCCCATTCTTCCCTAAACAAATAAGCAGCTACACTCCAGAAATCTTGACTCTAACAGTATTGGAAATTTTCTCTTTAATCAAAAACACCAAAACTCAGTTGGATAGAAACATAAAAATGCAAAAAGAGAGGTTAAAATTTTGAGTGGAAATGCCTATATACATTGCACTGGAGGTTCTGACCAGGGCAATAGGGGGAAAAAAAAGATTAATTAAAAAGGAAAACATACTACTCATTTTATCTGAAGAAAAATGATGATGTATGTAGAAAATCCTAAGAGAATCTATATTATAACAGAGTCACAAGATACATGGTCAAAATACAAAAAATAAATAAAATCACATTCTATATACAAGCAACAAACAATTGAAAGATGGAATTTTAAAAATACCAGTTACAATATCACTAAAAGCATTTACCTAAAATAAATTTGTGACTTGGGCACAATGTGCACACCTATAATCCCAGTAACCTGGGAGGCTGAGGCAGGATGTTCTCAAATTTGAGGCCACTCATTAGCAACTTAGTGAAACCCTATCTCAAATAAAAAAGAAAAAGGTCTAGGGATGTAACTCAGTGATAGAACATATTGGGTTCATTCCCCAGTAATGCAATAAACAAACAAAAATTTACTAGGACGTGTTCAAATTCTCCACACATTATACAATGAAAAAAAGTAAAAGAAACTTAAATATACACACACAATATTGAAAGATTGGAAGATTCACAACATCAAATCTCTCCAAATTAATCTATAGGTTCAATATACTTCCAATCAAAATCTAAGAAGGCTTCTTTTTTTTTTTTAATTCCCAATTTTTTTTTTTAGCTGTAGATATACACAACACCATTATTTTATTTATTTTTATGTGGTGCTGAGGATCAAACCCAGTCCCCCCACACATGCCAGGCAAGTATTTCACCACTGGGCCATAACCCATGCCCCAAGAATGCTTCTTTACAGAAAATAATTCTAAAATTTACACGGAAATCCAAAGTAATTAAGCCAAAATAATATTTTTTTAAAAAGTTCGTAGATTGGGGTTGGGGATGTGGCTCAAGCGGTAGCGTGCTCGCCTGGCATGCGTGCGGCCCGGGTTCGATCCTCAGCACCACATACCAACAAAGTTGTTGTGTCTGCCGATAACTAAAAAAAAAAAATAAATAAATATTTAAAAAAAAAAAAAAAGTTCGTAGATTTATACTACCTGATTTTATGACATACTGTAAAGTTAATATAATCAAGACAGTGGTACTGAAGAGAAGATAGACAAATAATCAATGGAACAAAACAGAGGACAGAAACAGACTGCACATAAATGGTTAACTGATTTTCAACTAAGACACCAATGTAATTCAATGAAGAAAAGCAAAGTCTTTTAAACAAATGGTGTTGATGCAACTGAATATCCATGTGTAATATTATCCCTACCTCAGGATCACTTAAAAATTAAACCAAGACAGGTCATATATCTAAATGTAAAAGCCAAATTTACAACATTTTTAGAAGTAAAGTAAAAGAATATCTCCACAAACTTCAGATAGACAAGGATTTCTTGGGACACAAAGGGCAATAATTTCCGGGTATTGTGGCACGTGCCTGTAATCCTAGTGACTCGGGAGGCTGAGGCAGAAGTATTGCAAGGTTGAGACTAGCCTCAGCAACTTACTGAGATCCTGTCAAAGTAAAAATAGAAGGGTCTCGGTGGGTGTGGCTCAGTGGTAGAGCATCCCAAGGTTCAATCCCCAGTACAAAAAGGTAATAGTCACTAAAGAAAAATAATCACTAAAGAAAAAAATCAGAAATAACTGGGCACAGTGAGTGGCACATGCCTATAATTTAGCAGCTTGGGAGGCTGAGGCAGGAGGATTACAAATTCAAAGCAAGTCTCAGCAATTTAGAGAGGCCCTAAGTAACTTAGTGAGTGAGACTCTTTTTCAAAATAAAACATAAAAAGGGCTGGGGATGTGGCTTGGTGGTAAAATGCCCCTGAGTTCAATCCCTAGTACCAAAAAAAGAGGAGGAAAATCAGTAACTTGGATTTCATCAACATTTAAAACTTTTGATCATCTAAAGAAACCAGTAATAAAGAGATAAGACAAGCCATAAGGGGCTGGGGATGTGGCTCAAGCGGTAGCACGCTCGCCAGGCATGCGTGCGGCCCTGGTTCGATCCTCTGCACCACATGCAAACAAAGATGTTGTGTCTGCCGAAAACTAAAAAATAAATATTAAAAAATTCTCTCGCTCGCTCTCTCTCTTAAAAAAAAAAAAAAAAAAAAAAAGAATTCCCCTATAATCAATAATAAAATGGCAAACGGCCCAATTTAAAAATAAGCAAATGCTTTGAACAGACACTTCATATATACAAATGGTCAACACACACATGAAAAAGTGGTCAGTATCATTACTATCAGGGAATGCAAGTTAAAACCACAATAAGAAGTCACTACATACATATCCACTAGGAATAGTTAAAATTAAAAAGACTGACAGCACTAAGTTTTCAAAATGTGAAGCAAGTGAAACTTTTATGTAGTGTTAACAGATGTGTAAAATAATAAAACCACTTTGGAAAACTGATAGCTTTTAACAAAGTAAACCCTACAACCTAGAATATTTTCACAGAAAGACTTGCAGAACAATGTTCATGATAGCTGTATTCATAATAGTCAAAATTAGAAACAAACCCAAATGACTGTCAACAGAAGAGATTAAAAAAACAAAAACAAAAACAGTAGAACACTACTCAGCAGCAGAAAGGAATGAATTAGTTATACCTTCAATAAAATGTGAATGAATCTGAAAAATACTATGTTAAACAAAAGTCAGAACAAAATTACATAATTCTATTTACATGAAGTTCATTAACAAACAAAACTAACATACAGTGATAGAGACAAAATAGCAGCTGGACTCTCCAAATGGGAGAATGACTAGTGAAAAGCACATGAACCTTAGGGGTGATGGAACTGTTCTAGATTTGGGTGATGGTAAACTGGGTGCATATACTTGTCAAAACTTATCGAACTGTATACTTAGTATTTGTGCATTTTGCTCTGGGCAAGCTATTCTCCAATAAAAGGTTGGGTGCATATACATATCTGCATTAATTTTTTGTTCTTTAGTACAAAGGTAGGTTAAAAATATTAACACATCTGTTTGTAGTCATCAGCAATTGCAGGAGAAAGTCTTGCTTTTGTTCTCCCAATTCAAAATATATAACAATATCACAAAAGCTGAAATTTTTCTAAAGGACATCAATTTTAGAACAATTCCATAATTCTCAGCTTATAGAATATAAACCACTGGGGACACTGTTCTCCTATGCATGTACTCTTGTTAGTTTCTTAATCAAAAGAGACTAAAACTTTAAATATCACATGAGAGATCTATAGAATTTTAAAAAATTTCTTCCTGCTTCTTTCTGGTCAATTTCCTACCTACAGAGTCAACTGCTGCTCTGATTTTTATTGCCATATATTAATTTTGCATTTCATGAACTGAATATAAATAGAAACTTTTGAAGTACATTTGAAATATATGTCCTTTTTTGCAGTGCTAAGGTTGAACCCAGGGCCTTTTGCATACTAGGCAAGTGTTCTACCATCAAGCCACAACCCTCAGCCTTCTCCTCAATGTCTGCCCTGAAGTACTACGGATTAAATGATAGCAAATGTTTTACTCTCACATGGTAGATAAACGCTTTACCACTGAACTACACTTCCAGTCCTTTTTTTTTTTAAGTACCAGAATTGAACCCAGGGACACTTAACCACTGAACCACATCCCTAACCCTTTTAATCTTCTATGTAGAGACAGGGTTTCACCGAGTTGCTCAGGGCTTTGCTAAGTTGCTGAGCTGCTTTGAACTTGTGATCCTCCTGCCTCAGCCTCCCAAGCCGCTGGGATTAAGGCATGAGCCGCTGTGTCTGGCACCTCCAGTCCTTTTAAAATTTTATTTTGAGACAGGGTCTCAGTAAATTGCCCAGGCTGACCTTAAACTTGTAATCCCCCTGCCTAAGTCTCCTGAATAGCTAAGAATTAAAGGTGTGTGTCTCCAAGCCCACGTCTATTTTTTTTTAATAAAGATGTATTACTACTTGAAAAGCACAGACTGTGACAATTAAATGTCTAAATCAAAACAAAGAGCAGTTGAAGAATATATAGGCAACAAAGTATGTGATGTAAGACCATATTTTTTTAAAAAAAATTATAAACTGTAATAACTGGAAAAATAAAATATTATTTATTTTCAATAAACAGTAAAATAAATAATTTTTCACCTTAAGTTTTGGATATATGTAGCGCAGAGAATCTGCAGTTCCCATGTCAGCTTCATCAGGAATGCACACAATATCTGGCTTCATTTTCATCTTGAATTCTGCACATAAAACCTTTTGGACATCCCTGGTTGTAACCACAATGACTTCTATAGCATGAAAGAAAAAAGAAGGAAAAATGCAAAAACTCATTCATCTAGATATCAATTTCACTACTTCAATTGGCTATGGTCTGTTTCTAGGTGTAATAATAACTATATTACTGAGCCTTTTCAGTGTGTCTTACATGAATTCTTTCCATTAATTCTTACAACAATCTCACTTTTAAAATGAAGAAATCTGCCAGAAGCTTTTGGCACACACTTGTAATCCCACCTACTTGGGAGGCTGAGATGAGGGATCACAAGTTTGAAGCTAGGCTGGGCAACTTAGACCGTCTCAACACAAAATTTAAGAAAAAGGGGAGGGGATTGCTGAAAATGTAGCTCTGTATCAGAGTGTATGTTTAGCATACATAAGGCCCTGGGGTCAATCCTCAGTACCCCCCCCCCCCCACACACACACAAGAGGAACCATGGACTGAAAGACTTTAAGTGACTTTACTCAGGATGCAATGAAATGAAGATCAAATTCAGGTCTAGGGGGCTGGGGATATAGCTCAGTTGGTAGAGTGCCTGCCTTCCACGAACAAGGCCCTGGGTTCAATCCCCAGCACCACAAAAAACAACAGCAACAACAACAAAAAACCCCCTCAGGTCTGACCAGGCTTGGTAGCACATGCCTCTAATCCCAGCAGCTCAGGAGGCTGAGGCAGGAAGATCGCAAGTTCAAAGCCAGTCTCAACAATTAGCGAGGCCCTAAGTAGCTTAGTGAGACCCTGTTCCTAAATAAAATACAAAAATAGGCTGGAAATGTGGCTCAGCAGTTAAGCGCCCCTGGAGTCACTCCCCAGTACCCCCCCACAAAAAAAACAACCCTTAGGTCTGTATGATTCATACCTACATTAATATACTGTACACCACTTTTTGTGGATGTAAAGAATTCACAAGACCATTCAACAAAACATATAAATGTAATCTTAAATCTTCATTCAGTACAAATAGTTACCCCAATTTCTTACCAGGTAGCCATTACTGCTGCACTGAGGATTAAATGAATCTAATAAGAATCATTTTCACACAACAGATATATTCACCTTATCCATTTATCTATCAAACAATGACAGAAAATCAGGGGTTTTTTCATGGATCTTTGGTGAGATAATGTTACTGATATCTGGTGGTCTGATTTTGGCATCTCTTCAATAATTTCCACATGTTCCATGATAGTGCTCCAGATCACAATCATCCCTCCCTTTCACTGGAATCACTGTTTTCTATTTTTTTTCTTCCTCTTTTTTCTTTAAAATCATTTAACCTTCCTTCCTTCTTTCTTTCTCTCCTCAATGTAGTCACTCACTCTTTTATCCAACAAATACTAATATATTTAATATTTAACATATAAAGGACAAATAAGCACTGAGAATTCAGAAAAGAAATACGGAGGGCTGGGGTATAGCTCAGTGGTAAAGTGCTTGCCTAGCATGAGTGTGGCCCTGGGTTCAATTTTCAGCACCACATAAAAACAAAATAAATAAAATAAAGGTTAAGGACTGGAGTTGTGGCTCAGAGAAAAAAGCGCTCGCATACCAGGCGTGAGGCACTGAGTTCAATTCTCAGCATCACATAAAATTAAATAAATATATCATCTCCACCTACAACTAAGAAATAAATATTTAACAAATTAATAAATAAAGGTTAAATTCTTTAAATTTTTTTTTTTTTTTTTTTTAAAACGTGGACCTGGTCACAGTGGTATACCCTGTAATCCAGCTACTAGAAAAGTTGAGGCAGGAGGATTGCATGTTCAAGGCCACCCTTGGCAACTCAGAGAGACCATTTTAAAATAGAAAAATAAGCCAGGTACAGTGGTGCATGCCTGTAATCCCAGCAGCTCAGGAGGCTGAGGCAGGAGGATGCCAAGTTCAAAGCCAGCTTCAGCAAAAGCAAGACACTAAGCAACTCAGTGAGACCCTGTCACTAAATAAAACACAAAACAGGGCTGGGCATGTGGCTCAGTGGGTTGAGTATTCCTCAGCTCAGTCCCTGGTACCCCCCCAAAATAAAAATAAATAAATAAATAGAAAAAAAGGGCTGGAGATGTAGCTCAGTTCTACAATGTCCCTAGATTCAATCCCCAGTACCAAAAAAAAAAAAAAAAAAAAAAAAAAAAAAGAAAAGAAACTGAATATGGGGAAATTAAACATGGAAATGATTACCTAAAGAAGAGATGGCCTTTGAGATAAGCCACGTATTCACCAAAAATTTCTTTAGTACAGCAGGGTGTGGTGTACACCTATAATCCCAGTGGGTCAGGAGGCTGAGGCAGGAGGTTGGCAAGTTCAAAGCCAGTCTCAGCAACTTAGTGAAGCCCTAAGTAACTAAGCAAGACCCTATCTCAAAATAAAAGATAAAAAGGACCAGGAATATAGCTCAGTGGTAAAGTATCCCTGGGTTTACTCCCCAACAACAAAGTACATAAATAAATTAATAGTTTTTTTAGTACATACTATATATATATGCAAAATGCTGAGAATACAAAGATGAATTAGAAACAGTATCTGTTCTTAGGAGAGATTACCAAGCCTCCCATACCATTAATTATAGTATAAAACAGTCCTCGAAAGGTGCCAAGATAAACAAAGAAAGATTAATGCTGTTAGGGATATTGAAGAGAAGGTAGCATTTCCAAAGGTTGGAAAGGAGATTTGAAGTACAGTAGATAAAGTGATGGATACTCCATTCATGCAAATATGGGACAGTCTACTAACTATATGGTCAAGATTCTTCTGTTTAGAGGGAGACAAAAGCTAAGCAGGGCTACATTAACTTCCCTCTATAAAATAATTAACAATAAGAAAAAAATGATGCCAGGAATAGTGCCATGAGTCTGTAATCCCAGTTACTTAGGAAACTAAGGCAGGAGGATCATGAGCTCAAGGCCAGAGGAGGCAACATAACAAGATCCCAACTTAAAAAATTGGGGGGCAGTGGCTGGAGATGATGTACCTCAGTGGTACAGTGCTTGCCTAGCATGTGAAAGGCCCTGGTTTCAAACCCTACCACTGTGATATAAAGACAGAAAAACAGGCTTAGCTATTTAAAACTTAAGAATTCTACGTTCAGGAGGCACCTCCCGCATCAAATTGTAAGTGAGCCTCAATGAAAATTAAATATTAAATATACCACAATAGGCCACACTGAAGTATGAACTAAAGGTATAGTAAAAGTAAAAAACAAAAAGAGTTACAGATGGCAAATCTATAAAGGGTTACTATAGGAAAGTACAATATTTTAAACTGGGCTAAAGTGTGTCACAATCACCACCTGTGAGACCAAGCTCTAAAAAGAAAATTGCTAAAACATATCTCTTAACGCCAATGTCATTTAGACCAGTGCACAAAAATGTCTGTGGGTCTGTGTCAGGAAGGCAACTCTCATAATGCAATGATCACTGGATCATGAGACTGGGCCCCAGAATTATGGCACCTGATTTGTTTTACCTAGCTGGTGTTCTGATCTGTTCTACCTAACCATAGGACACTAAATTCAATGGGCCAATGTTGAACATTATCATTTTTTAAACCCGATGTCTTACATTCCTTTTCCTACTTAATAGCATTGCATCTATGATACCCAAGCAAAAGTAGAAAGAACTCTTCCCACTGGTCTTTAAAAGTTCTAGAGGGCAGGGCTTAAGATGTTTTTTCAATTCTGTACACCCATCCTTAATACATTACATGGCACACAATATATTCTATTGCTAAGGAAAGTAGTCCTAATTAGCTCTTTCTGATAACCTTACAAGGTTCAGCTTGGATCACTGAGGAGATCAGCTCTATAACAACAACACTTAGCACTATCTTCTCAATCTTTTTTACATAGCAACAGAATACTTCTTTGTTCCTAACTTAAAAGTGGCCAGACTCCAGCAAACTTTAAGACTGAGTCTTCTCTAATCATCCTCCCTCACCCTCATAATGCTAACAAATCACTGAGACCAAACACTCCAAAGTTTTATAAGTGCAGATCACTGTCATTGCTCACCTTCAAATCCAACTCGCTCAAGCAGGTTCAATGGGTACCAAATTAAAGGTTTGTTCCCAACTGGAAGCAGAGGCTTGGGAATACTGGAAGTCAGGTCTGTCATCCGAGATCCCCCACCTACAGCCATCACTACTGCTTGAAATTCCATTTTTATAAACTGGAAAGAAACACATGAAAAAAGAATGTAACAAAAAATCAAAGTACACATTGATTAATTCATTTTTCTTTAGGTTTACTGATACCCACTTATGTCAGATGTATCACTTCCAACTTTAATTACCACACAACTGTAAAATACACACACATCATCATCTTTATCATACCCTGTGGTCAATACAGACACTCAGGTCTATCACTGGTAAAAGTGGGGGATATCTGAATGAAAAAATATCTGGCTTGGGCCTTGAGTTATTCACAATTAAGACAGATTCACTAAATTTTAATACACTACTAGTAGTACCATGGCAGGGAGATAGCCAAGAAACAGTGTACACAGGATAAAGGGAACACCTATCTTCCTAGAAAACACAGGAAGGTTATGTTCAAGTTGATTCTGGAGAAGTTTATTAAAATGTTTACTAAAATGATATTTTAATTCTTATTTCTTGAAAGCATTTAAAAAACTTGACAAGAATTAAAAATAGAAACACAGGCATGTTAGTTTGAAAGGTATAAAACTGATTGAAGATTCCTCTAATAATTCATCCATATGCTCTAGTATTCTCATTTTCCCTAATTATAACAGATATCACTGTAAACACAAATGGAGGTTTGTAGCTTTATTCTTTTTTTTTTGGAACTGTGTATTGAACCGAGGGATACTCTAACACTGAGCTACATCCCCAATCCTTTTTATTTGTTATTTTTGAGACAGGATCTCAATAAGTTGCTCAGGCTGGCCTCAAACTTGTGATCCTCCTGCCTCTGTCTTCCAAGTAGCTAGGATTACAGATGTGCACTAATGTGCCCAGCAAATATAGGCTTATATGTGAACCTAGATTTGCAGAATCCAATTACAGAAACAATCCAAATTGTTAACTCCTTTTTCAAAGTCAAGGTAATAAAAAAGCAATTTTACCTTGAAAAGAACCTCTTTACAGCAGCTACCACAGAACAGAAGCACAGGGAAAGGCATAAATCCTGCTGATTTAAATTGAAAATTTAAAAAAAATATTTTTAATTGTAGATGGACGAATACCTTTATTTTATTTATTTATTTTTATGTGGTTCTGAAGATTGAACCCAGTGCCTCACATGTGGTAGGCAAGCACTTCACTACTGAGCTACAACCCAAGCTCCAAAAGTTTTCTTTGACTTACAACAAATGATATAATCATGTGCAAAATGCAGTGTTCAGGAAAAAAAAATCCAAATTGTCAAATAATGGTGCACCTTTACTATAATACTGTCTTGGGCTACATACATCAATACTAAACCACAGCACTTAACACCAAGTATATCCAAGACACAAAGTGAAGGCTCACACACAAACTTGGAAGATACGATTATATCCATTTCAATAAGCATTGCCTCACACTGGAATCTAACCTTCACTCTTGCATTATACAACTTCCATGGCATTTGATGCTATTATGAAAAATGCACTAGACCCTAAGAGTCAAAAGACTGGAGTTTAAATTTTGGTTTTGCCACAATAGGTGGTGTGAAATTTAAAATTATCACTCACACCCTCAGTTCTTAGGAGAGCCTGAGGTTAAGTTCACAGATCCTAGAATTCCTAGATCAAAAAAATCCTCCTGTCCCAGCATTTACAGTAGCTGGGTCTGCAGGCACATATCACCATGCCCAGGTGCATGCTATTTTTGCTTTATAGGGTCCCTTTCTCCTGTGTCCAGTAATCAACTACAAAGCTTGTAAGATTCAGCTCAAGAATCACCTTCCCACAAAGCCATTCCTAACCCTTCCCATGCCTCTGGCAGAAGGGATTCCTTTTCCCTATATGCTTCTACTCTACCATGTGCAGATTATGTCAGCCTTTACAAGCCTTACTGCACATATGTGTTTAAAAGACTTTAAAATAGAGTGAGTTCCTTGGGCTGGGGTTGTGGCTCAGTGGTAGAGTGCTTGCCTCACATGTGTGAGGCACTGGGTTCAATTCTCAGCACCACATAAAAATAAACAAAGTTATTTTAAAAAATTATAGCACTTAAAAAAAAAAAAAGAGTGAGTTCCTTGAAAGAAGGAATTGTGCGTTGTCATCATTGTACTCCAAGTTGGATGCCAGGTACGCAGTGTGTATGGAATGAGGATCCCCCAACCTCACAACAGCCTCATGTAAGAGTCAAGCTCAAACATGTGCAGAGTGGCATTAGAATCCAAGTCACTGGGATCTAGGATTTCTGTTCTCAAAGTCTCTGGCTGAAGAGTGGCACCGTGGGAAGTAAGAACAGTAATGAGCATAACTACCCATGTTAGCCAAGCAAATGTCTCAATGTCGCTGTCACGACGCTGTGTGCTGGGAATCAAGGCAACGAATCTTCTAGCCTCCCAAGCTTTAGAGGGAGTGTTCCCGGCTTCTCAGACGTGCCTCAGTGCACTCACTGCCTTCTCCGGTTGTAAATAGGTAAGATAGGCCATGGCATCATAACTGAGCTCTGACTGAGGGCAGGGACCTTCTTGTATCTCCTTGTATTTCACTGCTCTGCACCCAAACAACTAAAGATAGGCTGAATAAATGAAGGACTCAGGTGGAAAAAGTTCGGGCATGGTGCTCAGGGCGTCTGGTCCCAGGTCTGGTGTTCGCTCAGTGTGAACTCCCCCACCCCGAAATTCAGTTTCTCCATCTGCTGCTCGAAATAGTTGGCTCGAATGCTCCCCAACCTCCCTTCTAGTTTGGACACTGGGCTCCGTGGCCGTGTGGAGCAGGGAACTCGCGCTAGGGACTTCAGGGCTCATTACCCCCGTCTGCCCTTTTGGTTCCATCTCGACCCAGCTCGGCGAGTCCCTGATGAAAGGGGGTCTCCAGCCCCCACCGCGAGGCTCACCCGGCTCAGCCAGCTCGTGCGCGGCCCCTCAGGACAGAAGCCACGGCTTTACCTCAGCTCCCAGCACGTCGCAACCGCTCCCAGAGATCCCCACGCTGCCTCTGACTGACAGCCCAAAAGCGCAGGCGCGCAATGATCGAGCAGATCGATGGGACGCTTGGGCAGACCCACGCAGAAGAGACGAGCGCCGAGCAATAGATTAGGCCGGGAAAGCGCTCGCGGCGGGGGAAGGAAGGGGAGAAAAGAAAAGGGGGAGGGACCAGTGGAGATTGGGCTACCATAGAGTTTTCTATCCAGTACTAGAGGTGTAGGACTTCGTCAACGCTGCCCTTGCGTCCATTCAGTAATCACCAGTGTCTACTGAATGCCCCTCCCAGAGCAGGATTCCAAGAACCCAGATGAAACAGGTGACAGCCTCTTTCCTCAACGAGTTTCCATTCTAGGACCTGGCTCGCACTGCTACTCTGAAAAAAGAGTTCATTGGATGCTGCAGTTTTTGGTTAGCCAGTGTGTGGGTGGGAGAGGGGGGCACCTAATTCCCTAAAGGGCAGGGATCCACAAGACTTCTAAGTGTGAGACGGCTCTTTCCCACTCTCGCCAGATTTAGTCATCAAAATAGCGAGGGAGGGAGTCTGTGAAGGCCTCACTGAGAACGTGCCACTGAACAATAATTTAAAGAGAGTCGAATCAGGTAAGTGCAAAGGCCCGGAGACAGATTGCTTGTTCAAAAAACAGCAAGGAGTCCAATGAGGGGGGAGAGAGCATGGCTATAGAAGAGGTGAGAAAGGTAGTGGGAAGAAGGTGGAGAATCCAGATCCTTTGGGGATTGTGGGTTATTTTGAGGGTAATGAATTTTGCTGTGAGTGAGTTAGGAAGCTAACAGATTGTTGAGCAGAGAAATATGACAGGGTTTTAAAAGATAACTCTGGTGGTTGTATTGACAATAAACTCCCTGGAAGCAAGTAAGGAGACCACTTAAGGGGCTGCAATTGACTGAGAGACATCAAAGGCCTAAGTCTAGAAACTTCCACAATTGTGAGAAATAATAATAATAAGATAATTGTTGAGGTGGTTTGTTAAGCTACAGTAGATAACCTGAACAAGGGCTGGTCTCTCCACAATTCCTGCAATTTGTCCTAATCTTTGGAAGTCGTCTTTTTTTTTTTTTTTTCTTCTTATATGTCTCTTAAACCCTAAATTGCTTTAGTTTCCTGCCAGTTAGGAGGAATAGTCTGATTTCTGTAATAAAAACAAAGGCGACTGGGCTGGGGTTGTAGCTCAGTGGTAGAGCACTTGCCTAGCATGTGTGTGGCACTGGGTTCAATTCTCAGCACCACATATAAATAAAGTAAATAAAATAAAAGTCCATCAACAACTAAAAAACTAGCTTTAAAAAAATAAAGGTGGGGTTGGGGTTGTGGCTCAGCGGTATAGTGCTTCCCTCCCATGTGCAAGACCCTGGGTTCAATCCTCAGCACTACATAAAAATAAATAAGTGAATGAAGATGTTGTGTCCATCTACAACTAAAAAAAATATTAGAAGAAAAGGAAACAGCTAGATGCTCTCTTCAACTGTGATATATTGTTTTGGTTGAAGAGTGAAAATCTGACCTCACACAGATACAGAGGTGGAAAAAAAAGGTTTTAATATTTAATAGCCCTTTTTGTGTATGTATGCTATACTACACCAAAACTTTATAAGTGGTAGTTTGTTAAAGGTTAGTTGCAAATAAAATCTGAAATTACACATAAATTAACATTCTGTATTCTTGTTACATTAAAATACCTGCACTTTGAATGGACATTTTACAAATGCATGGTTTACAACTTGGCATACTGATCATTTGTAAAATATTGGTTCCCTGAGTTATGCAGATCTTACCAAAGATGACTCATTTACATGATATAAAAGAATCACATTTGGGCTGGGGTCGTGGCTCAATGGTGGAGTGCTTGCCTAGCATGTGTGGGGCACTGGGTTTGATTCTCAGCACCACACATAAGTAAATAAATAAAGGTCAATCAACAATTGATTTTAAATTTTTTTTTTAAAAAGAATCACATTTGTTAATATCACCATCAATCTCATCAGAAAAGTTCTTAAACATTGAAAGCTGGCAAGCTTCTGATGCGAGATACAATTTTCTAAAATTCTAATTTTCTCTTGAAAGCTCAGATATTAGCATTGGCAACAAACACTGTTAGTGGTTTTCTTTGAAATGACTAGCTCATTTTATTTTGATAAATTGTCAGCCATAGTGACAAATATGTCATTATGTTGTATGAAAAAAGCAGCCATTAAAATTGCAACTCAGTCACACAAGAGCTTCTCCTGAAACTATCATATTTCTTTTGTATGCACAGAAGTATTAAATGCATGCTTCCCATTTCACCACAAAAGTATTAAAAAGATATATATTCAAGGGCCAAGATTTAATAGAAATTATTTTATTTCTTCGCGAAAGACCCTCTTAAGTAAAACTGACTTTGCTTTATTGTTTTTTATTTTTATTACAAGTATGTGGCAGTAAATAATGCAATGACGTTGAGTCAGTTTTGGTGTCTCTCTTTGATTCATGCTAAATATAAAAAATCAGTAATTTTACCCACAACTGCTTTTGCACTACCAATGCAAATACCAATAAGATGGCAAAGGGACAAAAATGTTCCAGCATTATGATGAAAATAGTTTTGACCCAGCACATGCTCTGAAAGGACTTGGAGATCCCCAAGGGTTTGTGGAGGACACTTTAAGAACTGCTGTATTAGAGTTCTTTCTTCCTGGCTCCCACTGCTTCTAGTACTAACATTATGGCACTTACCATAAATAATTATTATTACCTTTTTCATGTTCGCTCTATCACACTGGAAGTCTTTTGAGGATAAGGGCAGTGTCTTTTTTGATCCACAGACCTAGCTCAGGAACTGGGATGTGCTAAGTCAATAATCTTGAATTAACTGAAATTTTCTCCTAAATTTTCCTTTAACCTCCCTTTTGATGGTGGGAAAACTGGGCTGAAAGCCCACACTGTCATCTCTTTTGAAGTCCTTCTAAATCAATTCCTATTATTGTTCCTCATGACTAGCCTCATGCTCATTATTTATTATTCTTTAAGTTCACAGGAAGTACTTAATAAATGCTTATTAAATACAGGCTGCTTCCTATAATATTTGTTTTCTGTTCACAGTGATTATTTCTCATTTTTTCCCCAAGGGGTGGGAATTAGGTTAAGAAGGGTAAACTTGCTGGGCATAAAGGTGCACGCCTGTAGTCCAACTAGTTGGGATGATGAGGCTGGCAAATTTGAGGTCAGCCTGGGCAATCCTCAGTAAGACTCAAAATTAAAAATAAAAAGGGCTGGGGATATAGCTCAGTCTTGTGCACCACTGGGTTCAATCCCTGGTACCCTCCCACCAAAAAGAAGAGCAAACTCTCTGAACTGTGGGAGACAAAAGAAACCTTTCAAAAGTTGGGCCTTGGCTCACAACTATTCTTCCCACAGTCTGCTAAAGATCTCTTTGGGAATTTCTGGCCACATCATAATATTCATCTATTCCATTTGGCTGTGGACTTGTCAGTGGGGCTGGGAATTATTGTTTTTATAGTGCTGAGTGAAAGATTAAAAAAAAAAAAAAAAGAAACTACTTTGGCAGTCAATTGCAGGTCCTAAAATACTTGCATTTTATTTTTGTATATAAGTCCCACCAATGCCTAAACCAGTAATAATAAGTTAGAGAGCAAATGATGCTACATTGTTTAATTTAATCAATTCAGTGATTCCCCCCCACACACCTTTATTTAAAACAATAACTTGACATAATTAAACATTTGATGAAAAACAGAGTGTAAAAAAAATAACTTTTCAGATGGCTCATTTCCCTTGCTTTTAAATCAGAAAGTATAGTTTTGGAACCATGGTAGCTTTATTCATTAACAACTGTTTGTTTCTTGCCTAATTATCAGTGCCTGTTTGGAATTACTCCCTGCCTCCAGTCTCCTTTACAAGGACAGTGCAGGCTCCTGGGATACATTTTTGAAGAAAAGAAAGATCCAGCCTTTTTGGAGCTTATGTTCTTGCAGAGATAGGCAGGATAAATGTACTTTTTTTTTTTTGCCTTTGAACCAAGGGCCTTGCACTTGGTACTGTACCACTGAGCTACATTCCAAGCCCTGGGCAGGATAAGTAATAAAGAAGGTTAAGTAATAAATGAATAAACTGACAATATATTAAAAGGTGATAAATGCTGTTTGTTGCCAAAGTTCTGATTCTGGGGGGTTCCCAATAAATCAGGTCTAGCCATTTACCCCAAAACCTAAGTGGAAAAATTGGGAAAAGCAGGAAAGGAACTTAAATTAATATGGCTGTATTGGGAAGGCAAAGTGAGATCAAGCTTATCAGCCCTCTCTTCAGGATGCTAACATGAGCTTTAGGGTCTTTTTTTTTTTTTTAATGAGGAGTTTTATTAAATCTTGCCCCCTTTGCTCCTTGAGTACAAAACTCTTTAACATTGTGTGTGATCACATGAGAAGTACGCATGAACATTTTTGGTGGGTGGATACTGAGGATCAATCCAGGGGCCATTAGCCACTGAGCCATATCCACAGCATTTTTAATTTTTTATGTTGAAACAGGGTCTCCCTAAGTTGCTTAGGGCCTCGATAAGTTGCTGAGGCTGGTCTTGAACTTGTGATCCTCCTGCCTCAGTCTCCCAAGTCACTGGGAGCATGAACACTTAGTTGCATGCCAATGTAAGATGACTGTCTCAAGGGAAAGTACATGTTGTGATTTCTTGAGTTCTAAGTTGAACTAGCTCTTTTCTTCATGGAACACCAATTTGGGGGGTCATTAGGCTCAGGTTTTCAGTCTTTGAATCGTCATCTTCTGGCTGCTCTTCTTGTCCTCCTCTTCTTCATAACCATCTTCATCTCCCCCTAGGGGAGGGAAGTGGTCCCCTCCATAGGCATCAGATACCCATCCACCTTTCTCTTGGTGATGCGGACCACAGCTTCCATTTCATCCTGACCGTGAAACTTGTGAAACTCGGGTTCTGAATCTTTTGTGTAAACCACCAGAGACTGAGCTTTAGGTTTAAACAGAGGAAGAATGGGGCAGGGGGCAAAAGGTATCCAGAATTAAACAGTCTTGGTCAAACTATGGTCTGGTTCATCATTGTCTCAGTTTTGGTTCTGCAAGACAGCTCTGAAGAAGTCCTTACTGCTTGAGAAAGCAAATTAATTTGCTGCTCAGGATGTTTACCCACCAGATCTGTAGTCCTCAAAAGGGGAAATTTGGTTCCCATGAGACAATTGCTTTTGCTTAGGGGAGCAACCTGCAAGCTTGCTATTGCAGGAAGGTGTCAGGCAATGACTGGGATCTTATGTAGGTGCCACACCAGTAGTCTGGAATAGAACCTTATAAAAGCTGGCAGTTGAATGTCTCTGCAAATCTTGAAATACATTACTCTTATCTTGATGTCTTTGGTCTCAAAAGGGGACCAGATAGGTTACGTAAAAATAGAGCTAATCAAACTTGTATACCAGTTTTTTGATAAATACTTCTTAAATTACTAACATGCTTAAGTGCAGTTAGCAAGAATCTGACCCAAGATTTAAGGCAAAGGGAACAAATACATAAAAAGAAGGCAAAAGCGCCAAACTTTCTCTTTCTTTTAATTAATAAGGCACCAACAAATACAAATGAAGTGTCAGTACTTCTTGCAAAAGCAACTTTTAATTCACTATTATAGTACTTTGGGAATATGAAAATGATGAACATGGAGAAAACCTTATTGACACTTGTAAGGTTTTTGGAGTTTTATAGGTATTGTTGAAATTTGGGATTTGTGTTTCATTTAAATCTTTCCATAACTTTCTATTAAATAAATTTAGAAGCAAACGAAACAGTTGACATCAATAAAAATGGTGAAGTATAGGTCTTCTGAAAACCTGTCCTATCAGGGGCTGGGGTTGTGACTCAGTGGTAGAGTGCTTGCCTAGCATGCATGAGGCATTGGGTTTGATCTCCAGCACCACATAAAAAAACTAAATAAACAAAATAAAGGTATTGTGTCCATCTACAGCTAAAAATATTTTAATTTAATTTTTATTTATTTATCTTTAAATTTTTTATGGAAAGAAATACTCTCTTTTTTAAAAAAATATTTATTTTTTTTAGTTATAGTTGGACATAATACCTTTATTTATTTATCTTTATGTGGTGCTGAGGATCTAACCCAATATATACTTTTTTTTTTTTTCATAAAGACAAAATTTCAGCGATTTGTGAGGCTGAGGCAGGAGGATTGCAAGTTCAAGGCCAGCCTCAGCAATTGAGCAAGGCCCTAAGCAACTTAATGAGACACTGTCTCAAAATAAAAAATAAAAAGCACTGGGGATGTGGCTCAGTGGTTAAGTGCTTCTGGTTTCAGTCCCAACAAAACCAAAACAAACAAGTTTTCAGGTTTGCAGCTTTGGGACTGGCAGACTACCATCCAAATCCTAGCTTCATCACTTACTACTTCTCCCCGGGGGCTACTTAATTTCTCTTTGTTCCAGTTTTGTCATCTGGAAAAGATTATAGTAATCCTAGTAACTTCATAGAGTTGTTGAGGAGATTAAAGTAGTTGACATGATAACATATGTATAGCATTTAGCACAGTGCTTTGCACCAAGAGTGACTACCAAACTTTTATTTAATACTATGCAAAAATTGTTACAAATATAAGAAAAATATAACAAAATCAATAAATACTCAAATTAACTATCTTACTGTGTTCTCTAACAGTACTGGTATCTTTACTTGCTCTTTGTAGCTCTTACCCAAGTGTTACTAAATGCTGTTTACATGATTCTTTGTTGAATCAATAAGTTTTTAAATTCATAAAGGTAAAAATAATCATTACTTGAGCCACCTGTTTTATTCATTGCATCTACTGTGGTGCCCAACATCAGTGCTCCATGCTGGTTTGTGGGAGGAATGAATGAATGAATGATTAAATGAAAAACATACTACAAAATAGTGTGACTAAAAGAGGGACCAAGGACACGTGGCTAGTACCAGGTACAGAAATGGACTACCCTTACCTCAAACCTGGCATGAGCCTGCAGACCAGGCCCTTCCCAGAGGGCAGAGAAGGTGAAGAGGCAGAGCTTGCTGGTAGGAGCAGAACTGGTTGGGAGTGGTGGCCTCTCAGGTTCCTGCCTCTTTAGCTCCCTAGAGGAAGGTGTGTGTGTGTGGACATGTCTTTTCCTGTAAACCACCCAAAGCACAGGGATGGGGAGGGGCAGAATGGGGCCTGTTCGGGAGGCTAAACCGGTGTTAGGCTCAGGCCTTATTCTAGCACACTGGAGTGGTGCTCGTGCCACAGCGTGGGGGAGAAATTTCTTAGCCCAAGCAGTGTTAGAGTGAGCCCTAGAGGACAATGTGGGAAAGAGGTGAGAGAACAGGACTCTTCTCTGGGAAAACTGCCTCCTCACAGTCTCACAATGTATTATCTCAGATCACTGGGTCCCAGGGATGGTGCTTGAGGGTTGTGACTGCCCCCCGGTGGGATGCTGTGCCCACACTGGGTCTCTGCACCTTAGTGCATACAGGAGGCAGGTGAGAGTTGGCAGTGATGTTGCTACTTTCATGTTTGTCAAAATCCTCAACTGGCTGGTTTGTCAGTCATCCCAAGGATTTGTTCTTTGATGTGACATTCTTCTCCCTACTTGGTTCCAGAAGTGGACTTCCAAATCACTACAACTATCTTAGAAGATGCCAGGCCAGCAGTGCCACCCAACACACTCCTGGGCCCTTATTTCCCTACCCCATCCATTCCAGATGTAATGTCTGTCACTGAGAAGCCCCATCACTCCAACTAGGCATGGGCATGTATTTCCTTGGCTACCAGTAGGGGATTACCTGAGGAAGGCTTTTCCAGGACATAGCAATCTTCCAGGTACTCCATGAGCCTAGCACACAGCCCAATAAACAGACTTTGAGCTCCAAGAACACATTTGAAGAAATGAATTCATCTGTTTATTCTATTTTCCCATGTGCAAGCCCTTCTTTTGAAGGAGTATCACGGAGGCCCTCAAGGGAGGGAGGGCTAGACAGGGGCGTGCATAGCCCTAGGAGCAAGTTTAAAGTCTAGACTTCATTTTAGAGTAGGGTAAAGGGGTACTATTGAAATTTCAGAGAAGACATAACTGGTCTTTAACCTGTGCAAAATCTTGGGGATAAAATAGCAGATGGGGACTCAGGCGGGAGGTGATACAGAAGTGATGAATATGAGGTGGTGGTCAAGATTTAATGCTGCTGAGTGGATGTAGGTTCTGAACCAGGAAAGGCAGTGGCACTTTTGTCAGTTGAGACTGGGTTGGAGCAAGGACAAATCTCACCTCTGGTATGGAGGGTGAGGAGGAAAAGACCAGTATGTGAGGGAGAAGATGATCAGCCTGGCTTTATTGTTGGGATAGGTGACCAAAGAGGATGACTATTATTTTCTATACATCCTTGGTTCTTTGCTTGGGGAGGGGCATACACCATCCTCTAAAGTTTTTAAAAAATTGAGCCATGGCTGAAACCAGAAAAGGAAAAAAAAAATAGGTGGAATTGAAAATGGAAGCAAAATCCATGGGGTGGGGAGCTGGGTGGCCCCCTTCAAGTAGCTCAGGCCTGGCAGCTTGTGCTGGGCTTGTGGAAGAGTCCCTCTCACAGAGGCTAAGTACCTCAGGAAGCAAGCCCCAGCACAGTAGGGCTTGTGTTTCTGCGGGGGTGGACCACCAGTGTCAAGTCACCGCCCCTGCTCCAACCCCACACATGAGCAGGGCTCACTGAAGATTTCCGGAACATGGCAGCTCTCACCAGGAGCATGGACCCAGACTGGAAAGGGAAGGTGTGCTCTCCTAGGTGAGGGCAATGGGGCCTGAGCAGGGATGCCTCACTCCTCCCAGGGGCTCATGTCAGTGTCGATGGCCACACAGTTGTAGGCGGCATAGCGGAGCTTCTCCTCGCATACTTTGGCGCTGTGGGGAGTAAGGCAGGGCTCAGTCGGGCCCCTCCACCACTCCCAAGGGCAAGTGGGCTCCAGTTTGTGCATTTCACTGCCAGAAGTCCTCCCATACCAAGGATGCCACCCCAGGCTGGAGCCTAGGAAAACCCACCTGACATAGTGTGGTAGGAAGAGGGTGCTAGAGCAGGTGGAAGACTCAGGCAGCGCATCTGTGGTCTCATATCTGGGGGTGTTGAGGGACCACAGATTAGGAGATTTGCAGGGGCACGTGAGTGTATGTGTGTGTGTGTGTGTGTGTAGGGTGGGCACCTCCGGCTCTCTCTGCTGTACTTGCACTCACCCCAGCTTGTCTGGGTAGATGTAGATCCGTGCTGGCAGGCGGCTGCGGCCTGTCACAAAACGCAGGAAGCGGCTCCGGTCCTCTGGATGGAGGAGAAGGAAATGAGGGAGGTTCTACAGCTTCTACCCTGATTCTGAATCCCATAAGCAGAGTCCCAGTACAAGCATCACTCTGCCCTCCTCCACTGACCATTGGTGAAATTGTTCAGCGCCTCCCAAAAATACTGCACCCGCGTGTCAGATGGCTCGAAGTCCTCAAATCGAGCTGGAGGGGATAATGTCAGAATTCATTCTTAGGTTTCACCCTGTCTAGTCCTTAAGCTCCATCCCCTGAGCTTCACTGCTCCAGCATCTAGAACTCACTGAGCTTGCGTAGAGCATCCACAGTGACCTCTGGGTCCCCACACACCTTCTTCTCCAACTCTTGCCAGGTCAACAAGTCCAATACAGCCTGCGGCACCACCTTCAGCAGACCTGCCTGCATGGCCGCCACCTGGGGAGGAGAGAAAGGCCTAGCTGGGAGAGAAGGCACAACTCTTAGCTTCCTTTGGGGGCATCTCTTTACCCCTCTGATCAGTAGGAGTGTGGGGCAGAGTTATGGTGGGGGCCAAAGTTCTTAGGATTGGTCCTAGTGGCCTATCAGGAAGGGTTTGGGGTATTTGAGGCTGGGGCTGAGGGTAGTTGTGCCTGGCTGCTACCTGCTCCTTGCTCTCCTCTAGCCGTGCCTTCTGCACCAGTTGGATGAAACGACAACGGTCCTCGTATCCCACTATGATGCCTGTGCCCCCAGGGATCAGTTCTACCACCTGTTGGTCACTCAAGACGGTGGTAAATGTTAGCTCCTTCCCAAACTTGAACTCAAATGTCTCCTTGTCCATTCCCTCCATCACTTCCAGGAGCTTCACCTGGGAGTTGGGGAGAAGCAGGGAGATCAGTATTTCATTAGGGAGGCAGTCTCTGTTCTTTCTTCAAGATGCTCACAGGGAAGTAGAGAGGCAGCCTGGCAAGGCAATCCCCAGACAGGCAATTGGGAGTGAGGGGGCTGGTACAAGGCTGTGGAAGCCTGGAGACAATGCCTAACCAGCCTTGAAAGCTGAGGAAGACATCCTGCAGGAAATGGCATTGGTCTAGTCCCTACTCACCAGCACTGAGTCCACAGCTGGGAAGTCCTTGCTCCAGCTCACCTCCTCACCAGAGAGCTGCTTCCACACAAAACCAGGCAGAGCCAGGACCTGTGTACACAAACACTCACTATAGTTTGTCTTCTCACCTTGAGCTGCACAGGTTTGTTGGCTTTTCCTTCCAGGGACCTAGGCTGATCTGATAGTGCTGTGGATCAGGCTACTCACCAGGAACTCCTTACCCCGAAGGGCAGCCCCCATCAGTTGTCCGATCCACTCATACTTGGCAAAATCTCGGCAGGAAGGATTGGGTACATACATGTCCCGGGCCTCACCAGTGCCGTTGCCCTGCCCCAGAGATAGAGCTGTCAGCATGGCAGGCAATGGAGCCCACTTTATTGCCCTAAACACCTTAAAGAGTTCCCCCAAAATCTCTTTGGGATCCCTGTATGACCCTTCTGAATGTACAAAAGCTTCTCCTTTCCCTGTCTGCCCAAAGGCATTCCTGGGTAGCTCAGTCCCTCTTCTATTCTCTCTAGCTCATTCTGGCACCTGAGAGGTTTGCAGAGATGGAATGGTAGAAACCTGGGGGAGTGGAGGTTATGGGGGTGGGAGATTACCTGGTTGGCTGTGCGCACAAAGAAGGGCAGAGGCACAGGGGTGTCAGCAGAGCTAGGGCACAGCTCTTCTGACATATCTGCCAGGCTGTCTCGGAAACCACCCCCTGAAATGACAGATGTTCTCAGCGGGCACAAGAGCCCAGTCCTTAGAATATGTTTATAAGCAGGCTTCCTATCTTTATTAGCTGGTGACTCCAGAAGCCTCTACAACTCTAATAAGGCAACAAGCCGGACCCCTGTCTTCCTTTTGCAAGGGCTTACCTTGGTCAATGATGCCTTCAGCAATGAATTTACACTCCCACCACTGGTCATAGCGCATGGGCCATCTATAAGTAGGGGTAGATCTCTATTATACTGGGTTATGATTCAGCAGCCAGACATGAGACAGCAAAAGAGCTACAGAGTGGTGATGGTGAGGGGTGTCAGGAACAGTGTGCGGGTGTATGTGTGCACAGTTCCCTGACCAAGTCCCTTACCCTCATGCCATACCTGTAGTCCAGGGGCTTTTCATACTTGTCAGAGGGTTTGAGGCCTTCATAAACCTGGGGGGAGGGAAAGGGGAGGGAGTTGTCTGTGTCAAGGCCTGGTCCTTTCTTGCCCAAAGACTTTGCTCAGGCCCCTCTAGGCTTGGGCCCATAGGCCTTTTACTGAGCTTCCCTCGGTCTAACCCTAGGTGGTCCAGACCTGGGTAAAGACTGCATTCTTGCAGGCAGGGTCCCGAGAGGGGCAGGCACGATGTTCCATGGCAAGGCGACGGTTAATGTACAGGCGTGGCATGAAGCTGGGCTTGCTGCTCTCTGAGTCACGCAAGCACTGGGCCACCAGGCTGGGTCGCTGGCGTGACAGCAGTAGGAACTGCTTCACTTGCTGAAGAGGAGAGGTGGCCAGAACAGGATCAATGGACAGTTAGCTTCTCTCCAGGCTCTGGAAACTTCCTCTATCCCTGGTCTCAATTTCACCATTCCATTCCATTCCAAGCCCAGTCCATTCCCTGTCCTTGCCTCCAGGGGGAGCTTTCTAAAACAAAAAATCTGACATTGTCTTTACCTTAATTAAAACTTTTCCAATGACTCCATAGACTGGGACAAAGTCCCTGCTTCATAGCCTGGCCCTCAGAGCCCTCACCTGCTAGGTCCTGCTTCCTGCCCAGCCCCTACCAGCCTTATCCCCACGTCATCCTCACACCTACCTGCATACTTTTCTTGAGTCATATGGAGCTGCTGGTAGCTAGTGCACACATTTCACACAAGTTGCCCTGCCCCTGCTGTCACCTCTTCTCCCCAGCCCATGTGCATTCTGTATGCTCATCTGGGAAAATCCCCCCAAACATTAAATTTTGATCTTTCATGTCTGCCTTTCTTCTTGGTTCCCTACAGTAGGTCTTAGGAACTCTGTTGAAGAATGAAATCTATAAGAGCAGGAAAGGAGAGCCCACTGACCAAGCTCACCTTAATCTCACTGAAGGTGCCCAGTGTGTGGTCCCATGCAGGCACCAGGTGGTGCAGGACACTGTCTAGGATCTTGATGAATCTGGGATGGTGGATAAAGATAATGGCAGCTAAAGAGTTTGGCATAGATGTAAGACTCCCCAACTCTCCATACATTGGGACTGAAGGTAGGGTCAGGAGCTACTCTGACTTTTAGAGCAGAACTGAGGCCTGATCCACACAGACACACAAAGCTGAAGGAAGGGGGAAGGGAATGGCCTGCAGGCCCAGGACCAGTCACCTCTGCAGGAGGACAGCTCTACGGTACAGTACTTCTGGATCAGTGCCTTCTAGGCGTGGATATCGCACCAGACTGGCTGGCTGGAAGAGGTCTGCATTCAACCCTAGTTCCCGCTGTCTTGATGACTTGATCTTGACCCCTCGAAGACGAACATCGATGCCATCATCTGGGCAAGGGATCAGGGTGAGGTCATTTACTGAATTTGCTGTCTTCTTGGCCCTGAGATCAGGGAATGGCTCCTTAATGCTCAGCCTTTTGTCATCCTATGACTTGGAACCTTAGGGATCCTATTCTATCACCTGGTACTTTGCTAGCACCTCTATAATGCTGGCATGCTTGAATGTCTCAACTTCTCTTCTAGGTGAGTCCAACCACTCCTATGGTTTTAAGGCCATAGGTTTATATGACACCTCTCGCTTGGCTCTGGCCCCACACCTTCAAATCCTGGAGTTAGTCCAGCCATCATCTCATCATCTTCGCTTGCCCATATCAAGACCCAGGGGCTCCTTTTCCTTTTTTTTTTTTACACATTTAAAAAAAAAATTGGTGCATTATAATTATACATAATAGTGGGATTTGTAACATATTTGTACATATTAATGATATAATTTGGTCAATATTGTTCCCCAGTCCCTTTCCCTTATAGTCTTTAGACCCACCTCGGCACTCCACAATGCGGATCTCGATGATTGGCAAGTGGACTGTCATGTCCTCCAAGACGCAGACATCCCCAATCAGGGTCCTGAGGAGATGGGTGTGAGGCACTTCAGACAGTCGATGCCTCAGGCCTTTAGGGATTGCTGGGATCCCACCCAAGTTTAAGCATCCAAGCTGGATGGTCTCATTGCTAGAATCACATCCCACCTCCTACCCCAGGCCGGCCTGCTCACTCGTCAATGCTCACGTCACTCAACTTCTTCAGGTTGTCCCCTTCGCCCCCATAGACTACCACTCGCTTAGGCATAAAATTGTCATCTGTGGTATCCACTGTGAGTAGCAGCTTCCTAAGGGGGTCAGAGTGTGCACTGAGTCTCTATGCACCCACAGGCACATGAGTCACCCAACCCAGGTCTGCTCAGAGCCTACTCACTTGACAATGGTGCCCTTCTTCATAGTAAGCCGTACCCAGTGCTGGCACTGGGACCCATCACTCTCCCAGTAAGTATCCGCATTGCTGTCCGTCAGGCAGGACACATTGAATTCCTCCTAAGGAGAGACAGAGTGGTGGGGTCAGCTGTTACCCTCACTTCTGCTTTGGGACAGGGAGCAGAAGACAGAAAGCATAGTGAAGATGGGCTAAAAGGGCAACTGATATGGGGTAAAGGTATGATTAGGGTAAGGTAGGAGGGAGTCTAGGGGTTCCTATAGGACTTCCAAGATGGGGAGCTGGACTGAGTGTGGCCCTGGTTTGGAGGTGGGAAATCTGGATCTAACCTTGAGGGATGCGACTATATTTTGCCTCAAGAGGGAGGAGTCCCAGCACCCACCGTGTAGGAGGACACGTCTATGCTCTCCACATACTGCTTCACGCTACCCAGGTTCTCATCCTCCTTGCCCAGGTGGTCATACAAGAAGTGGATCAGGTCCTCGTCGCACTCGTAGGTCCATGTTGGGGGCACATAGCTAAGCAACCCCAAGCCCCTAATTAGGCTGGGCCCAGACTTGGAGCTCCCTCCTCCCCATCTGGTACAGCTCACTCACAGTAGCCTTTGTACAGCTTCTGTGTATGCCTCCGCTGGTTGAGGCCTTGATCCGAGGCGATGTGAGTATGTCAGGTCCACCACCTGTTCCCATCTGTGGGCACACAGTTGAGGGTGGGTGGGTGGGAAGGCATGAGTGGACAGCAGGATATCACCAGCAGGATCTGGAACCTTCTCCAGAGCTCTAGCTCCTTGCCTCCATAGCTCTATGCCAACTCCCTCAGGTCCTGTTCCTTTCTGCTCTTAATGTTACCTCCATTTCAAAATCCTCCCCCGCCAATCCCCACCCTGGATGTGTTGGTGGTCCCAGCCCCTCATTGCCCGATATCCTATAGCAAGCCCTGCCCCTTCAAGTGCAGGACCTGAGCACTGGTCGGTAGTCCACGCCAAAGAGCTGCTGCTGCCGCTGGAGGTGGTCAGGAGTGTCGATGGGTACAAGGCGGGCCCCGCCCTCCGCTGGGCGGCATACCAGCAGCCAGCCTTCGTCCAGTCCGCAGTCACCCAGGTGTTCCGCCAGCTGCTCCTGCAGGGACCGCCAGATGGGGACAGCCATCAGGGAACTGCTCAGCTGCTCGCCCTGCCCAGCCCAGGGTAAAGGGCGCCGAATACAGTGCCAGCTCAATATAGGGCAGGAAAGGGGAACGGAGACGTTTCTGGACGCGGAGATCTTTGGAGGAGCCTCGGGTAGGCCAGAGCTTACCTTGGTCAGTTTTACCCAGAGACCATGGCCGTTGCATAGCTCCTCGCCCGTGGTGCGCACACAGGCGCCGCGCCGAAGTTCGATGCTGTCGCGGGCTGCACGAAGGGGCCCAGAGGCGGTTCCAGGGGCTGGGCCCGAGGCACCCACACGCAGCCCTAGGCCCTCTGCCTCCCACACCGGCAGCATCACGCGCGACGGTCCTGCCGGGTCCTTGTAAAGCTTGTACAGCACCTCTCGCGGCACGAAAGCCAGCGCTGCCGGCAGCGGTCGCCCGGCGCGGAGGCTCCGTGCTGCCTCCGCCAAGAAGCGCACGCGACCCAGCAGCTGCCTTGGGGACTCTAGCGCCGCGCCCGGGCCAGGGCCTGCCATGGCGAACTAGCTGAGGGACACCAGGAGTAATTCTGCCCTGGGAGCACCAGCCGCGACCACAGCAGAGCTTCCCACCACGCCCTGCTCCGCCTTCGGCCAACCTTCGCCGTATGTTCTAGACTAAGCGCATCCTACACTTTTGCTGTATAATCCTGAGTACTCTGATGGTCAATGCAATTACACGTACATCTGTGTCCTCCCACCCAGCCAGCCAGACCCAAGATTAGTGGTTTCTACCTGACCAATTTCCCTCTCTCCATTCCTATCGCTACTATCATTTTATCTCCAATGCTCCTACCCTAGTTCAAGTCACTACCCTATCTATCCTGTATCATTACAATAGCCTTTCTTCCCACCCAGCTTTCTTTCTTTCTTTTTTTTTTTTTGTACTGAGGATTGAACCCAGAGGTGCTCAACCATTGAGCCACATCCCCAGACCTTTTACATATTTTATTTAGCGACAGGATCTAACTTGATAAGTGCCTCACTAAATTGCTGAGGCTGGTTTTGAGCTCTCAATCTTCCTGCCTCAGCCTCCTGAGCCGCTGGAATTACAGGCACGCGCCTGGGTGGTGTAATTAACATATTTGGGAGAATGGTGCCTTCCCTGACCACTGACAGGAGGCTTAAGTCATTCCGGATCGATTGCAACTCCTAATCCCAGGATATTTACAGTCATTTTCTATTTAATATGATTGCCAGGGGCTGGGGATGTGGCTCAAGCGGTAGCGCGCTCGCCTGGCATGCGTGCGGCCCTGGATGGATCCTCAACACCACATACAAATAAAGATGTTGTGTCCGCCGAAAAAACTAAACAATAAATATTAAAATAATAATAATAATAATATGATTGCCAATTTCCGTTTCCCCATCAGACTGGAAGAGCAGTTTGTTCTTAAAAGCAGGGGCTGTGTTGCTCAGCGCGCTAACCTTAGAGGTCATCACATGAGAACAAATTCCTCACCCTACCTGAAAAAGTAGTTTCAATGGAGTTCTTTTGGGCTTTTGTTGTTGCGTCGCTACAATGGACTTTACGGTGAAAGTGATTGGGGTCCTCCAGGCAGCAGCCGGGGCAGCCCTAGAGCTGTCAGTGGAGCCCAATCACGTGGTTTTCAACATGGCGAACCCCTTGGTTTACTTCAGGAAGGGGCGGAGCTTGGACTGGGGGCCTGCTCAAATTCATGTGTGTGTTGATTCTGCGCGCAGTTACTGAGAGTTTACCATGGAAGCGAACGGTTTGGGGTGAGTTCTATGCTGCAAGCGGGGTGGCTAGCGAGACTTGGGATCTGAATTTTCCAACTCAGTTATCTGTCCCTATACCCTCATATTCCTGGAGTTCTCCCATTGTGGACTCCTGTCGCTGGGATCCCGAATGCTCCCAACTATGGGATTTCTGAGACCTTCATTTCAGGGACCGTTTTATGGACTGCGTCCTCCAGACATTCTCTTAGGGGATGCCCCAGAACTTCTAACTAGGATCTCTATTCTGGGACCATCTATTCTGCTCCTTTTTTGACTATTTCCCAGCCTGGAGATTCATTAGTCTAGTGACCATTTCCCTCAAAACTATTCTTACTGGGCTTTTAGAGCTTGGGAGGGCTGGGAGTACGTGTAGGAAAGCGGCCCCAGCGCGGGCCCTTGAGTCTGTGTACCACCTGATAGGCAGAGAGGAGGCCTAATGCGCGGGGAGCCACAGTTTGCTAGCTGGTCTGGAGGAGGTAGATAGCAGTGCCCTATTGAATCGACTTTAAGAACCCTTGCTTTCACCATCCACCGGCTTAGCGTATTGATTCCTTCCCCCAACCCCATCTGATCACTAGATCTCAGAATTTTCCGGAGCTGAAGAATGACACGTTCCTTCGAGCAGCCTGGGGAGAGGAAACAGACTACACTCCTGTTTGGTGCATGCGGCAGGCAGGCCGCTACTTACCAGGTCAGGGTCAGGGCCCAGAATTCTAGATAACTGGGGAGACAGGGGAGGATTCTGGAGGCCTGAAAGTTGAGGTCTGTCTTCCTTCTCTCTGCAGAATTTAGGGAAACCAGGGCTACCCAGGACTTTTTCAGCACCTGTCGCTCTCCTGAGGCCTGTTGTGAACTGACTTTGCAGGTGAGGGGTCCACAGAGGGAGGTATTTATGCCTACAGCTTGCCACCTAGCAACTCGTTTCCATTCCCTACAGCCACTGCGTCGGTTCCCTCTGGATGCTGCCATCATCTTCTCCGACATCCTTGTTGTACCCCAGGTACCCACTTAAACCCGATTCTGAAATGTGTAAAAAAAAAAAAAAAGAGAAAGGAAGAAAAGGATTCCTTGGAAATCTTATTAGTCCTGCCAAGATTCAAGATAAGTACATATCATAGCTGGATAGAGGGAAAAATTAAGACTGAAAGAGATGAGTTTAGCTGAGTTTTATTCTCCATTTCCTTTCCTATTGGTATGGGCTGAACAGAACAGACTTTTTGAGACAAGGTCTCAATAAGCTGCTGAGAGCCTCACTAAATTGCTGAGGCTGGCCTTGAACTTGTGATCCTCCTATCTCAGCCTCCCAAGTCTTTGGAATTACAGGTATACTTTGCTGCAACCTGCACCTGGCTGGGATCCAGTTGTTTTATCCCCCTCCAGGCATTGGGCATGGAGGTGACCATGGTACCTGGCAAAGGACCCAGCTTCACAGAGCCATTAAGAGAAGAGCGGGATCTAGAACGTCTACGGGATCCAGAAGTAGTGACCTCTGAGCTGGGCTATGTGTTCCAAGCTATCACACTTACCCGACAACAGCTGGCTGGGCGTGTGCCACTGATTGGCTTTGCTGGTGCCCCGGTAATATGGGAAAAGCAGGGGATTGGGGTATGACTCTGGCATATCTGGTGTAGACAGGGAAGGAAGTGTCAGTGTGGCTTCTGCACTGTGACATCTTTGTATCCTTCTGCAGTGGACCCTGATGACATACATGGTTGAGGGTGGCAGCTCAAGTACTATGGCTCAGTCCAAGCGCTGGCTCTACCAAAGACCTCAGGCCAGTCACCAGCTGCTTCGCATCCTCACTGATGCTCTGGTCCCATATCTAGTAGGACAAGTAGCTGCTGGTGCCCAGGTGAGTCCTGAGGGGGAGACAAATAGGCTGGGGTTTGGACTATAAGAATAAAAAACAATAGTCTCCTGAACTGGAGAGGGCAGGGATCTTATATTGGCCTTGATCTGGCTAGAGCAGCCAAACCCACCCTGACCCTGGGGTGAGGGTGGGGGCTTAATACTCTTGAGTGAAAATCAAAGCTAGCATTGGGATCTGGAGAAGGCAAACTTTTTGACTGGAACTGGGTTTATAGGCTCAGGCAGTATCAGGGCTTAGTCACCTGGGAAAATGATGCACATTCTGTATATGGAACCTGAGGTGTTTCTTTTTTTTTTTTTTTTTTCTTATTTTTCTTCACCACCCTGTAACTATAGGCATTACAGCTCTTTGAGTCCCATGCAGGGCATCTTGGCCCACAGCTCTTCAACAAGTTTGCACTGCCCTATATCCGTGATGTGGCCAAGCGAGTAAAAGCCAGGCTGCAGGAGGCAGGCCTGGCACCTGTGCCCATGGTAAGGATTGGGATAGGTTGAATAAAGGTGGGTCTGTGGAGTATTCAGGGTACATCTTGCATGGACTGAAGTGACCACAGGAGGGCAGCAGAAGTGCATCCAAGAAAGGTTAGTGGGCACAGCAAGTCCCTAAGTGTAATCTCAGATCCGCTTTTTCCTCCAGATCATCTTTGCTAAGGATGGGCATTTTGCCCTGGAGGAGCTGGCCCAGGCTGGCTATGAGGTGGTTGGGCTTGACTGGACAGTGGCCCCAAAGAAAGCCCGGTGAGTGATAGAGGTTGGACCTTTGAGATTAAGGCAGGGGTTGCCGGTGGGAAGCTGCCAAGTATGCAGTCACCAGAATGTGTTCCTGGTTCTGCCTCTAGGGAACGTGTGGGGAAGTCGGTGACCCTGCAGGGCAATCTGGACCCCTGTGCCCTGTATGCATCTGAGGTAATAATCAGGGCCTCTATGGGTGCACAAGTTTGTCTCTCTGATATGGCTATGTGATTATGTGTCTGATGTATTTGTCTCTCTTCTCTACTCCATACATACAACGTAAGCCTGTGAAAGGCAAGAATTTTTGCTGTTGTTCATTTGTTTTTTCTTAGTGTCTGGCCCATATACAATATCTGATAAATTTTATTGATTAAATGATAAAATAACACCAAGTAAAAGCATGCCTACGTGTGTATGTTACTATTAGGCATAGGGAGGACAGAGGCTTATAGATCTCCCTATTTTCGGTCCCCCAGGAGGAGATTGGGCGATTGGTGCAGCAGATGCTTGATGACTTTGGGCCAAAACGCTACATTGCCAACCTAGGCCATGGGCTTTACCCTGACATGGACCCAGAACACGTAGGGGCCTTTGTGGATGCTGTGCACAGACATTCACGTCTACTTCGACAGAATTAAGCATATATACCTTTTCCCTTAAGTATATGGATGATTGTTTTCTGGAAAATAAAGTTCCATAATTGAAGTCTAGTATGTGGTTTTTTTATTTTTATTTTTATTTTTTAGTTTTCAGAGGACCTTTATTTATATGTGGTGTTGAGAATCAAACCCAGTGCCTCACATATAACTAGCTCTATCACTGAGCTACAACCCCACCCCTAGTATGTGGTTTTGCTTATGAGAGATTGTGCTCTAATCTTCAGTTCTTTCCTTCCCTGGAGCCTCCCCTGTATCCCCTCCCACAAGTCTCAAGGCTCAGTTATCAGTGAACATGGACTATTGCACTTAAAGTTAGGGTTCTCACTACCATTATGCCTTCATATATCCAAGTCCCACAACTTCAAGGAGTTGGGTAAAGCTTCCTAGAAGTTGGGACTATGACACTGCATAGAAAGGGATGGGTTACTCACAGCATACAAAGCCCAAATTAATAGGCTTTGTGTCTGGGGAAGAAGGGGAATACTGATCAAAGAGAGGCACAGAAGTGCCTAAAACACTTCAGGGAGTCCTAGAAAGAAAGAAAGATGCAATCTAGGTAAGGAGGGAGAAGCTAAGGAACCCTCAGCTTTGACACTAAATGATGGGGAAGACAAAGACTCAAAGCTAAGCTGTTTGGGATTTAAGCCTTAGAATAGGCCAACACCAAGGCAAGAAGGCCTCTGAAGCTACAAGGCCCTCTGGCACTCAAGTGTTGCTTTGTATTATTTTCTGAGCAAACCCTTTAATTTTCTCAGGATCTTGGGATCCTGCCCATCATGGTGACACCTTTGAGGACAAGCTTCTGAGGTGCTTGTGAACTCTGCAGAGGAGTCTTGTGTGGCAGGAAATTCTTCATCTGTCATTTTCTAGATCCCTGTTAGGTCCAAACAGTTCCTTGTCCCAGCTAGAGCAATGCAGAAGCAGAGAAGGGCCTCATTTATTGAGAGAACACAAGTTCTACTTTTAGAAAAATGATCTTTTCTGTGATTCATGATTTATTCATAGAAAAGCACTGTGAATTCACACACTTGCTAAAAAAGGGCAATCGTGATACAGAAATGGAAGTGGCTTCTCTTGTTTACCAACCCATGGGGCTGAGATGTTGTAGGGGCCCTTGGCTGGAGGGCAAGACTTTAGTAGCCACAAACAGCAAATACAACTTTCTGGTCAGTTTGGAATAAAAAAGATGACAAACAGTTTTCCAAGAGGAAAATAAAGCAGACAGGTTCTTGGTTCACACGCTAGCTATATCACCCATTCCCTATCAAACCCCATCCCAACTCAGGAACTAAGACACAAAAAACAGTAAACACCCAAGACACTGGTATCCAATTGACTCTTCTGAATGCTCTTGCTACCTCCTATAATAACTCCAGGTTGAACTCCAGGGTCAGGAAGGTAGCAGGAACATGATACACTGTGGAAGTCAGTTAGGGCTAAGATAAGGGTTGCCCACTTGATGGAAAAGGGAAAGGCCAAGGGATACCAGCCTTAATCTCCAAATCAGTGACCGCTGGGACTATGACAAAAGCAGGCAGAGGAAGCTTGAGGTAGAAAGGCAGGGGGAGAAAGCACGTATGGATGAGAATTGTAGAGCTGAAGTAGCCAATCTTAGAACAGAGGGGACACTGGTGCTTAGAAGCTTGTTTGTCAAGAAAGAATGGTGAAGGGAGGTGCATAGAGATGGGAACAAATGTTCAGTTGTTGAGAGAGATTGAGAGGAAGGGGGAAGAGAGATCTGGCAGAAAAAGAAGGGACACATTCATGCAGATCTTCCAACATGAATACAGACATACCCATGTAGAAATATCTCAGTTACACTTATAAAGACACACAGATCCATGAACAGCAGGCATACACACACAGACACAGTCATTTATAACTTGTACTCATGTGCCCAGATACACACATATACTAATCATGCAAACATGAGTACACTTAGTTATGTATTTTCACACATGCACAAATGAAACAGTGAACACACAAACCCACAGTCCAACGCACACATGTATCACATACACAAATTAGAGATGAAACCAGATACTCTCTAACATAAAGGTGACCAGAGTAGATGAATATTATGAGCTCAAATGGCTTCCCAGACCTTCACTTTCTCCCTGCACTTGTTACTGAGGTGTCCAGCAGGCTCCTGGAGAGGTTGTGTGAGGCAGGATCAAGAGTTCAGTGTCCTCATAGCAAGAGAATCTTAAGTCCAGTATTGGCCTCTCCCTCACCCACCACTGGACTACAGATGCCCTGTTTACAGGCTGGGGTTTCTGCATAGACAAGCTTGGGATTCATTTTAATTGGCCATTTTTCTCCCTGCCACCCCTACTTGTCCATTGCTAACAGCATACACTCTGCAAGGGAAACCTGAGAAATGGTTGTGAGTCTCCTCAGAAAACAAGCCTATCCTCCCACCCACAGCTACTTTAAGTGCCCATCAAATCAGAACCAGAATTATAAATAGTTACAACTTTACAATTATTGGCAACACATATACTATAATATTTACAGTACCATAAATGCTTCTGTTTCTCTGGTTAAGCAATCCCTGAGACGGAACAGTGTCTGTGTTTGCCAAGGGAGATAGGGCCAATGCCCAGGACACGCAGGATATAGGGGCGTGAGGTGGCATGTTGTGGGATTTCTGATCAATCTGCAGGGCCCAGCTCCTCCAGGAACAGTGGGCTGTAGTGAGAAGTTTGCCAAGGCATAAAAATTGGCTAGAGTTGGACTCTTTCTAATCTTAGCCCTGTGGTCCTTTGGCCTCAGCCATAGGTGCTCAGAGTCCTCCCAGGGTAGACAAATGCTTCAGTGTCCTTGGCCTGACTTGATGGTACCTGGATGCCCAGGCTGCCCTGGAAGTAAGCTATCTGCTTTCTCAGCCAAAGCGCTCTCGAACCAGCAGCATCAGCTTCTTCTTGCCTTTGTAAATCTGTTTGAGGTTGTCAATGAACTGAGCAAATTGCAAGTGGCCATCCTGCGGCAGCAGGAAAGTCTCCCGAGCCTTGCTCAGAAACTCAATGAACTCTCCATAGTGGCGAGGGCTGATGTGTGTCAGGCGTGAGTGTGTAGTGTTGATATAGGCATTGATGGTGGCATCCAGCAGCTGGCGCAATGGAGCTTTGTCAGTTGACATGAGCTTTCCAGAGCTGCGGCGGCCTGGGATGCCAGCCAGGCCAGGTGCAGTCACTGTGCAGCGCCGCAGGATGTCTGAAAGCACAGTGGCACAATGCACACTCTTCACCACTAGGGGGATGAGGGCTGCCAACTCATTCTTGCCCAGCGAGTGGCTGAGGGCACAAGCCCAGAGCACATCATTAATGGCCGGGTGGGTGTCCTGGTTATAGGCCAGGTTAAGATGGCTCATGGCCAGTGAGGCCAGCTTGAAGGCACGTAGCGGATAGCCACGGAGCTCCATGTAGCGGGCAATGGTGAACAGCTGTGAATGGGTCATACCACCAGCGGCAGCATCAATGGCAATCTGGTAGGCTGCCTCAAAGGCGATGTGGTCTTTCTCACAGAGTGTGAGGGCTGACAGGGCACAGCTCTGTGGATCCTTCATAGCACACTGCAGGGCCAGTGTGCGAGCACAACTAGCCAGTTCCTCCCGCTGTGGGTAATCAAGACTGAGACGCAGGATAGTGGTATGGGATACAGCTGTAGCAGCTACAATACTAGTAGCCTCGGTGGGGGTGAAGAGTGTATACCAGCTCTGCAAGATGCTCACCAGGGCCCGCACACCTGTCAGGGAGAGCCTGAGCTCAGCAGTGGCCATCCAGGTCCTGATGCAGGTCTGCCCAGATTACCATTTGGGGTCTGAACTTGGCCTGCAGAGATGAGTTCTCCCTCCTCCACAGCAGCCTTGAGATGATCTGAGGCAAACCAGGGCAAGGGGAACATCCCAGATGGCCAGACCCTGTTTGGGGTCTCTTCCCACCCCTTCCTTGCCCAGGTCAGAGGGTTAAAGGTCTCTGCAAGGCTCTTAGCCCCTCCAATGGATAGAACAACAGAGCCTGTGGTTTGCAAGCCTCAAGGCAGGGGTTGCAGGTCCACCTGGGGTTTCTACCTAAAGTGGGGCCTCTGGAGGTAAAACTCTTGTGCTGGTGCTTTGGGCTCTAGAAGGTATCCCAAGCCTCCAAGTTGTCTGAAGTTTCTCAGAAGCATGGCAGGGACTGGAACCACTACCTCCTAAGGGAGCACCTGAGTATTGGGGGCTGAAAATGCATCATTCAGATTTTTCTCTGAGGATTAAAGTACAGCTGAGACAGGCACAGTGGCACATGCCTATAATCCCAGCAGCTTGGGAGGCTGAGGCAGGAGAATTGTGAGTTCAAAGCCAGCCTCAAAAATTTAATGAGGCATTAAGTAACCCAGTGACACCCTGTCTCTAAATAAAATTCAAAATAGGGCTGGGGATCTGGCTCAGTGGTTGAGTGCCCCTGAGTTCAATCCCTGGTACCCAAAATAAATAAATAATTAAGTGTTGCTGACATCAGGACATGGTACAACCAGTGAGGGCAGAGCTTGAACTGACTAAATAGAGGCCATTTTTTCCTATTAGCAGCCTCTCCTTTTCTAGGACACAAGGAATGGGTATGTGACAGCTCATCAGCCTGTCCCAAGAGTTGGGCCTAAAAATTTCCCTAGGGGTACTAGAAATTTCCCTGGGGGTAGAGTGAGGTAGGAGACTCACCCACTTCTGTAGCACAGGTCACCAACCATCGTACCATTTCCCTGCGCCTCCAGTTAAGGGTTGATAAGGTCATCCGCATCACCTGGGAACAAAAGAAGCATATCTAGTTGGCTAAGCCTGACTATTATGACCTCTTTCTCCCCACTTCCTTTTGCCATTCATTCATGCAACAAATATTTTTTGGTGCCTTAAACAGTGGTCTTGCGAGCTGTGGTTGTGGCTCAGTGGTAGAGTGCTTGCCTGGCACATGCAAGATCCTGGGTTCAATCCTCAGCACCACATAAAAATAAATAAATAAAATACATGTATTGTGTCCAACTACAGCTAAATATAAAAAATGAAAACAAAAGAAACAGTGCTCTTTCCCCTGGTAAGTATGGACAGGTTTAATTTCTGCTTGACATCTCTCTTTAGATAAGAAGCTTCTCTAATAACACAAAACAAAGAAAATTCCTATACTTTGCTTGGCTCAGAAGAATGGAGAGGTGGGGAGAAGGTGGGGAGAAGGTGGGGATCCCTTATAGCCTAAAGCTATTCTACTTCTGGCCTTAACCTAAAAATGGAACCCAGTTTACAACCCAATTTGCTTTATGCCTAGCTTGGAATTTGTGTTCTGGGGACAAAGAACCAGACTTGGTCCACATTCAGCCCCTTAGGGATCTTATCTTATGCAAATTGTCACTATACCAGAAGCCTGGGAACAGATCACTCCTACCCCATACCTGTAATCCTAGCTCCAGGGCTACGTTGAGCAAGGTGCTGTCTGTACCACTGTCCGTGGGAGTAGCAATCTTGAATGCATCTTGGGCCAGTTTAAAGATGAGGGAGGAAGAATGGATGTGCTTCTGTATTGCTTCCAGAATAGTTCGGAGTCTCAGAGTATCCCCTGAAGGCGTTGAGAGAAGGGGCACTGATAAGGTTTGCCTTAAAGTTTCCCTAGGCAGCCAGTTGATCACAATAAATACTGGTTGAAATATCAATTCGTAGAATGCTCCTGAATGATACCATCCCTTCTGGGTAGCCAAGCTGTCTCCAATGAACTCACTGGTAGCTCATTCTGTATCTAGGTATCCATATGAATTCACTTCTTTACACCTTTTCCTCTTTCCCTACTCTTCATCCACTATATCCTTAGGCTTTTTAGAGATGAAAAACAATTTTCTTTCTTTTTGAAAATCAATTTTCTTGAACACCTAAATTTTGAGAACCTCTTACACAGGTGGCCAGAAGCCAAATAACTGTCAAAATAATAAAAAAAAGTATGCAGTTCATTTGTGTGTGTGTATTTGTGTGTGGTTCTGAGGATTGAACCCAGGTGTGCTTTACCACTGAACAATGTACCCACTCCTATTTATTTTGAGTCCTATTTTATTTTATTAAGTTGCTAATGCTGGCCTTGAACTTGTGATCCTCCTATGTCAGCCTCCTGAGTTGCTGTGATTACAGGCACGCACCACCATGCCTAGCTATGCGGATCCCACTATTTTCTTTTCTTTTCTTTTTTCTTTTAGATTCCATTTTTCTAACAAAAAAGATAAATAGCAGTGTGTATGTAGTGTATGTGCATAAATACATATTTTTGGTACCTGGGACTGAACTCAGGGGCACTTAACCACTGAGCCACATCCCAAGCCCATTTTTGTATTTTATTTATAGTCTCACTGAGTTGCTTAGTGCCTTGCTAAGTTGCTGAGGCTGGCTTTGAACTTGAAATTTTCCTGCCTCAGCCTCCTGAGCTGCTGGGATTATAGGTGTGCGCTACTGTGCCTGGCCACTATTTGCTTTTTCTGGAGAAAAGGGGAGCTAGGCGAACACTTCCTATTCTATAGACAAAGATTCTATACAAAGAACTAGTACATGGAGTTAAGGAACTGTATCACCATATGAAACAATGGTTGTTTCATGAAGGCAGTATAAAAAATTAGTGTATCTTATGAAGGGTAAATATGTGAACTAAAGACAACAAAACTATGTCTTATGATTTGCTTTGCAGTTGTTGATAAAGTCAAAGAGGCATGAGTTTAGGTTTTGGAGTAAAATACACTGAGGACTGAATCTGGTATAGCCATTAAATAATTCAGTTACTACTTCTATAAAATGAGAACTGTAACCTTCAGGATTGTTTTGAAAATTATAAACAATTTGTGCATAGTTAATAGTCTATGATTCCATTTTTCTAACAAAAAAGATAAATATCAGTGTGTATGTAGTGTATGTGCATAAATACAAATAGAAAATCTCCAGAACTATTTATACTAATGTCTTATAATAATTATCTTTTCCTTTCTTTCTTTAAATACTGGGGATGGAACCCAGGGACACTCTACTACTGAGCTACATCCCCAGCCCTTTTTATTTTTTGAGATAAGACCTGGCCCAGGCTGGCCTCTAACTTGTGATCCTCCTGCATTGGCCTCCCGAGTAGATGGAATTACAGGCATACACCAGAGCACCTGGCTTGTAATAGTTAATATTTGAGTATCAGGATTATAGAAGAGATTTCCTTTATTCTTCTATTATTTTTTTAAAGTGATTTTAAAATTAATAGACTTTTTAGACCAGTTTTATATTTACAGAAAACTGAGCAGATAGTACAGAATTCCCATACATCCTGTTATTAACATCTTACACAGTGTGATAGATGCGATGAACCAATATTGATTATATTAACTCAAGTCTTTATGTTATGGTCCATTCTGTATCATATTAATTCTATGGTTCAGACAAATTCATAATGTCATGTACCTGCCATTAATTATAGTATCACATAGAAAAGTTTCACTGCCTTCAAAGTTTCCTGTGCTTCACCTTTTTAAACCTTCCCCCTTCTCCCAAACCTCTGGCAATTATAATGTCTCCATAGTTTTATCTTTTCCAGAATGTACAACTGGAATTGTTCAGCATGTAACCTTTTCAGATTGCAATGCACATTTAAGGTTATTTAAGGTTCGTCATGTCTTTCTTCATGGCTTGATAGTTCTCCTCCCCACCTTTTAAAATTGGAACACTGCAATTGTAAACAATGACACAATTTTTGTTACATATTTATATGTGCACACAATATAACAATATAATTTGGCCAATACCACTTCCCACCATTTACCTCTCCCCCTCTGGAAAGTTCATTTCTTTAAAAAAATTTTTTTAGATGTTGATGGACCTTTATTTTATTCACTTATTTATACTCTGTGTTCAAAATTGAACCCAGTGCCTCACATAGGCTAGGCAAGCACTCTACCACTGAGCCACAACACCAATCCCAAGTTCATTTCTTTTTATTGCTAAATAATATTCCACTGTATGGATATACCCATTTTGTTTATCAATGCACCTTTTGAAGGACATCTTGACTGCCTCCAATTTTGGGAAAATATAAATAAAGATACTATAAACATGTACAGGTTTTAGTATGGACATAAGTTTTCAACTCATTTGGCTAAATATCTAGAAGCATGACTGCTAGATCATATGGTAACATTATATTTAGTTTTGTAAAAAACTGCCAAACTAGCTTCCAAAATGGTTGTACTATTTTGCATTCTCACCAGCAATGAATAAGGGTTCCTGTTGCTCCACATATTACCAGTATTTAGTGTCATTTGGATTGCAGCATTCTAACAGCTTATGCAGCAGTATCTCTCTATTGTTTTGGGTTATTTTCTCATTGTTGAGTTTTAAGAGTTGATTTGTATATTGGGATACAAGTCCTTTATCAGATATGTTTTTCAAATAATTTTTCAGCCTGCAGCTTGTGCATTTTCATTTTTCTTTACATTAAGTTAATTTTATTTGTTCAAGGGCTCATACTGGAAGCATTAAATCAAGCCAGGACTTTGATTCTGTGAGCTCATATCCCATATTAAGGAAGAGCAAACTATGGTCCATATACATGGATTATGAACTAGAGCCTCAAGGTTAATCATATTGTAGTTTTTAAATTTTCTACAGTCCAGAACTCAGAAGTCATAGGGCTTTTAGGTCCTTCTGGGCATTCCACAGGGTATCTGCACTTTCACTGAACTAGGCAAACTTATCAGCTTTTCGTTAATAATGCTGGTTAATCCCCAAGCATTAAGGATACATGGAAGATTATATCATACACCCTCACCACCATTGTTGACACTAGATGAATTGACTCCTTTATCATTATGTGATGGCTCTCATTATTTTGCCTGCTTCCCCCAAGAGATAGCACCTTTTCTATGTTGTCCTGGCCAGGCCTCAATTCCTGGGTTCAAGCAGTACTCCCGACTCAGGCCTCCTAAGTACCTGAGAGTACAAGGGTGCACCATTGTGCTTGGCCCATGACTTCATCTTATATAAGATTTGAGCATCCTTGGATTTAGGTGTTCATTTGGGGGTTCCAGAATTTCCCAGATACCAAGGGACGATAGATGAGATCCTTTAGCATCAAGGGCCTATTGATCTGTCCATATCCCCCTATTATCTGTTCACTTTTAGATCTGATCATAGTGAATTTATCACTCATTGTTAAAAGAACATGCCATCTCTCCTTTCAAACTCAGTATTCCTGAGCACTCCAGGGAGGGAAGGTAATGCCTAAGCACTTATCTGCACAAGGATTTCACTTCCTTTGCTCAGTTTATTCCCAGGCCTTTTATTCTTTTGTGTTATATGATAAATATGATTGGAAAAATTTCCCTTTGGTAGCTCACTGTTAGTATTCAGAAATTCAACTGATTTTTGTATGTTGATTTTGCATACTATAACCTTGCTGAATATATTGATTAATTATAACAATTTTGTGTTTTTAAAAAATGACATCTTTAAGGTTTTCTATATGTAAGATCATATTGTTAGCAAACAATTGACAATTTACCTTTGTCCTTTCTGATTTAAATGACCATTATTTCTTTTTCTTACCTAACTATTTTGTCCAGGATGTCATTGCTATATTGAATAGAAAGAGCAAGAGTAGTACTTTTGCTAAGGATCTTTCACATAGAGCTTTATTATGTGGAGATAATTTCCTTCTATTCCTAGTTTCATGAGAATTCCTGTTCCATGTTGAATTTTAGAAAATTCCTTTTCTGTATCTACTGAGATGAACATGAGATTTTGTATCCTTTATTCTGTTAATCTAGTGTATCATAATTGATTTTTGTATGGTAATAACTATCCATGCATTCCAGGTATAGACCTCACTTCTTCTGATGCATGACCTTTTTAACATACAGTTGGATTCACTTTATTTTTAAAGAATCATTTACTTGGATACCAAATTCTAGTTGATCATTTCTTCTTTCAATACTTTAAATATTTCACTCCACTTTCTTCTTGTTTGCATAGTTTGTGAAGTCTGATGTATTTTTCCCCCTTATTTCTCTATAGGCAAGATGGTTTTATTCTATGGTTTCTTTCAAGGGTTTCTCTTTGCCATTGTTTTTCTGTATTTTGAATATGATATACCTAGAATATTTTTATTATTCATTCTGTTTGGTGTCTGTGAGCTTCTTGGATTTAGGTGTCTGTCATAATACTGGAAGACTCAAAGCCAATATTACTTCAAATACTTCTCCTTTCTCTTCCTTTTCATATTGCCACTCCGCATATGTTATACCATTTGTAATTGTCCCACAGTTCTCAGATGGTCTTTTTATTCATTTTTTCTCTCTGCATTTCAATTTGCAAAGTTTTTATTGACATTTATAATTTTTTAAAAATTAAATATTCTTGGACTGGAGTTGTATAGCTCAGTGATAGAGTGCTTGCCTTGTATGTGTGGGGCACTGAGTTTGATCCTCAGCACCACATAAAAATAAAAAATTGAAGGTGTCGTGTCCATCTACAACTAAAAAAATTTAAAAAAACAAACAAAAAATTAAATATTCTCATGGTTCAATATTCAAAAGGTGTAAAAGGTAA